AGAGAGAGAGAGAGAGAGAGAGAGAGAGAGAGAACATGAGTGGGGGAAGGACAGAGAGAGAGGGAGGGAGAGAATCCCAAGTAGGCTCCACACTGTCAGAGCAGAGCCCGCCACGGGGCTCAAACCCATGAACTGTGAGATCATGACCTGAGCCAGAGTCAAGAGCCGGACGCCTAACCGACTGAGCACCGCCCCCCCCCAGGCGCCCTGTGTCATATATTTTTTTTAAGATTTTATTTTCAAGTCATCTCTACACCCAATGTGGGGCTCGAACTCAAAACCCTGAGATCAAGAGTTGCCTACTCCACAGACAGAGCCCGCCAAGTGCCCCTTGTTTGTCCCACTTTACTTAACTAGTCTCCTGTTGGCAGACTTTCTAGTTGTCTCCAATTGTTACTGCAGACAGCGCTGCAGTTACGATTTTGTATGTACGCGTCTGTCCGTAGGATAAACTGCTGGGGGTGGGATGCTGGATGAAGGACTGTGTGCATTCGTTCTTCTGAGGAATGCTGCCAGTTGGCTTTCCATAGCGGGTGAGAAGTTTACGTTCCTACCAGCAACATGGGAGAGTGCCCGATTCCCCACAGCCTCGCCAACACAGAGCATCGTCACACTTTCGGACCTTTGCCAATCTGATACGTGAAAAATACAGAGTCTTAATTTGCATTTTTCCTATGAGTGAGGTTATGCATTCTTCCACGTGTTTGGGAGTTGTTTGAATTTCCTTTGCTGAGAAAGAACTCTGTCTTCATATCCCTTCACCATTTTTTTTCCACTGGCTCGTTGGCTTTTATCAAACTATCTTATGGAGGTCCTTTATCTATCACAGAGAGTAAGTAGCCCTTTATTAGTGCTGAGTTACAAACATTTTGCCAGTTTTTTTTTTTTTCTTTGACTTTTTTTGTCAGGCAAATAAAAGAGATACATGTATGTGGGGTAGCATATGGTAGTCTTTGTTCTGTGGCTTCTGCATTTGGAGCCATAGTTACAAATGCCTTACAGCTCCAGAGTTAAAAAAGAATTTGCTCATGGGCGCCTGGGTGGCTCAGTCAGTTAAGCTACTGACTTTGGCTCAGGTCACGATCCCAAAGTTTTTGTGGGTTCGAGCCTCCCATCGGGCTCTGTGCTGATCATGGGAGCTTGATAGGGATTCTCCCTCTCTGTCCCTCTTCCCCTCCCCTGCTTATGCTCTCCTTCTCTCTCTCAAAACAAATAAACAAACTTAAAAAAATTCATTAAAAAAAAAGAATTTGCTCATGTTTTGCTTCAGCATTTAAAGTTTATTTATTTTGAGAGAGAGAGGGAAAGTGCAAGCAGGGAAGAGACAGAGAGAGGGAGAGACAGAATCCCAATCAGGCTCCACACTGTCGGTCAGAGCCCGACCCGGGGCTCGAATCCACGAACCATGAGATCATGACCTGAGTCCGGAGTGGGACGTTCAACTGACTGAACCACCCGGGTGCCCCTGCTTCAGCATTTTTATTATTTCTTTCTATTTTTTTAAGTAAGCTCTACACCCAATGTAGGGCTACCGACCAAGCCAGCCCAATGGTTTCTTTTTTTATATTACATGTTTTATCCACAGGAATTTTTATTCTGGTACACAGTACGAGATGTGAATCACATTTGTTTTTATTTTTTCCCCTAGCATCTTAAATGACCTGTCTCTTTTTCCCACTGCCTGAGATGCCATGATTTATTCTATACTAAATTCCTATATGTATCTGGTCCCTATGGGGTCTTCTTTGTCCTTTCACTGCTGTGTCTTCACTTACTAGTAACCCAGTGTTGTGATCATTGAGAGTTTAAATTGTGTTTTAATTTCTGGTAGGGACATTCACTACTCACTGCTCTTTCTTTTCTTTCATTTTTTTAAGTTTTCTTGGCTTTTCTGGTTTGTTCATAGCTTCCTCTCCACTTTAATACCTTCTTGCCCTATTAAAAAAAAAAACAAAACAGGGGTGCCTGGGTGGCTCAGTTGGTTAAGCGTCTGACTCTTGGTTTCAGCTCATGTCACGATCTCAGTTTCCTGCGTTCCCTGTGTGGGGCTCTGCGCTGACAGCACGGAACCTGCTTGGGATTCTCTCT